GTCCTTCTCCGCCTGCGTGACCCACGCAGCTTTCATCTTGGGAAGGTAATTGTTAACGAGGCCGTTGGTCTTGGACTGCATGGTGGTGTACTGGCCCTTCATGTAACTGAGCCACTCGGCCTGGAGGTTCTGCTTCGACCATTGCTGGTATCCACCAGCCCGCCGGTTGGCGGGCAGCAGAGTCGTGTCGAGGGCGTCGAGCACCTCGCCGATCCGGTCCGTCTGGGTCTTCATGGTTGTCCTGATGGTCGAGTGGCTCTGATAGATGCGGGAGCCCATTGTGCTGCGCAACTTCTGGAGAATCACACGGGACTTTGTATAGTCGGAAAGGTCCTTGGCCCAGGCGGCCGGGTTCCAAGGGTTTTGGGATCGCCAGGGGTTCGTCTTGGAAGGCGTGTTGATGGCGGACTCGAGTGCGACAAACTCGGACGTCTTGAACGTCCTTGTTGGGAACTGCGCCGCAATGTGCATAACGGGGTTCCAAGCCGTGCCGACGCCGCCAGTCGTATCTTTGCCGGGCCACACGAAAGCGGGGACATCCCACAGCAAGTCGACATATGCACAGAAGGAGACGGTGTCTCCCTGGGCTGCATTCGGCTTCGGGTCGGGCAGCTTGGACTTCTTCTTGTCGAGGTACTGGAAGAACAGGTCGATCATCTGGGCCTCGAGGACGTGCTCGGTGTGATACTCGATGTTGGCGACTCGTGCCGTCAGGGGGTTGCCAAAGTCAAAGTCGCCGCAGTCCGTGGGATTGACCCAGCCCCAATATGGGCCTTTCAGCTGGCCGCCCGAGGGGAAGTCGCCCGAGATGTCGCAATCCCGGCCACAGGCCTTGACCAGCTTCTCACTGGCTCTCTTGTCAAACGTATGCAATGCCTCCTCGCCTCCTGCGTAGTAGCCATGGCTATGACTTCGCTTCTGGTGAGCATGGAAATGTGCGGCGATGGCGTTTTCATCAATGGTGGATGTCGGCGTCAGCTTTTCCTCCCTCTTGTGCTTGGTCGCTACACTCGAGCTGTCGCCCTCGTTGCTCGCTCCCAGGGCAGCGTATGCTCGCTCGCACGTGATGCCTTCTTCGCCGTCTTTAGAAGGGCAGAAGAACTCGCCAACGGGGAGGCTGAACGCTGGGCCATATACACCACCTCTCTTGACGAGAGACGACGTGTGCCCGCCGTAAATGTACCTCGTGCCCAGGCCGGCGCCGTGGCTGTACATGGACTCTACATCGAGGGCCCCCTTGTAAGCACTGGGCTCGGCGGCTTCCGACCTTGACGTGTTCCTGGTCACGTCCTCGCCTTCAGCGCGACCCTCGATGAGGAGGTGGTCGAGACCTCGTCGGAGACTTCTCCTCCTAGAAGGTATCGGGCCCAGGTCGGGACAAGTGCCGCCCTTGATGATAGTCTTCTCCCACTTGTCTGTCAGGTCGACTTCACCACCAGACCAGCCAAACACCTGTGGCGCCGTTGCTCTCGCAAACAAACGAGCGCCGACATCGAGACCGTAGGTAAAGGGGCACGTTCCCGTGGTCGATATGCCCGCTGCGAACTTGGTCGTTAGGCTGACCTCACCCACGACTGAGGCGGCCGCCGGGTCAATCTCCCACTTGTCGACGAAGCGAACGCCAAATTCGGCAGCAGCCGACAGCTTAAAGGTGACATCTCCGGAGGTTGTGACGCCTGCGTAAAATTCGGGCTTTTGGATCCCCGAGAAGTCGCCCGTCCGATCGAGGCTCGGCTTGCTGCTGTCGATGAGCTCGGGCCTATAGGATTCGGTGTCGGGCATGACTTGGCGAACCTAGAAAGAAGCAATGAGTGTGGTTAGCAAGTGTTTTGTTGGTGGGTATCAATAGAAAGAAGAGTTAAACACGGGCTTTGCTACTCACTTCCCACTTGGCAATCTCAAGCTTGGTCTCAATCAAGCCAGCCATGCCGAGGGAGGCGTCGATGCTGCCCTCGACGGTGAGCTGGGGGCCTAGGGTGGCGATTCCGGGAATCTTGAACGAGGCACCGGGGAATGGCAGGTTGAGAATGACCTTCTTTTTCTCGTACGTCACGCGGGCGAGGGCCTCGAGGGTGACTACACCGGTGACCTTACCCTTGTTGTAGAAGGTCAAGTAGCTCTGGTCGAGGTTGAGGGGCAGGGTGAGACTCTCGACAATGAGGGTGAAGCCGAAGCTGGACTCGACCTCGATGTCGAGGACGGCCTGACCGAGCAGGTGGCCGTCGTAATTAACGCCCTCAGCCGATCCGGGGCAGTCCCAGGACTCGTCAAACAACTTTGCCGTGACGCTGTCGTCGTACTTGTGCGTGAACTCGCGCTTGATCTCGGGTTTCACGAGGGCCGCCAGCCATTCGAGGATGCTCTTGCCGAACCACCGCTCGTGCAGGTCTCGCGAGGCAATCTTGTTAAAGTGGAAGTCGCCGCGGAATTCCTCCTCGAGCCAGCGCACCGGGTTGCTGCCGACGTCTTCAAGCGTGCGCTTGGCGTGTCTCTTGCGACCATTGACGTCTCGCTTCCGGCTGACGGACCCGGCGACAATGTTGTTCCAGTAGTCGTCCTGGTTGCTGTAGTCGATGCGCATCTGGGTGTTGCCGAGGTCACGCGGCACACGGTGGAAATCATAGTCGAACGTCAAGTCGTAGACGATAGGCTCGAGGGCGGCGAGGTGGGACAGGTGACGGGGCAGAAGCTTGGCGTGGCCACTGCCAGGGGCCGGTGCCATGCTCTTGGCAACGGCATACTTGCCTGGGCCGCAGCCCTTGGGCATCTGGAGAATGGTTCCCGGGACACCGTGGCCGAGGCCGATCTTGTGGCAGTTGCTGTCCGGGGTGTGGTCGTTGCAGACCATACGGACCGTGTGCTCGCCCTCGGATACCGAGTCGTTGCAGTCAAAGACGTCCCAGTGGGAGCCGTCGCGCTTGTCAAGCGAGACCTGGAGCGCCTCGGGCGAGACAAGGACCACGAACTGGAACGCAGCCTCCTTAGGGTCATCGTCGCCGCCGGCCGACGTGTTGTCCGTCACGAGGGTGAAGTCCGTGTCAGAGCCGCCCTCGGGCGGGTGCTCAAACAGGTTCTTGAGGTCCACGGGCAGGAAAAGGGGCTCGCCGTCCGACTCACAGCAAAAGGTACGGACGCGGTCGTGGAGACCACAGGTCTCGCCTCCGCCAAAGTACGAGTCGGTGATCTGCACCGTCTTCATGTCCGGGCAGTGGCCGTCAAAACAGTTGCCGGGCTTACCGTACCAGGCGCAGTTCTTCCACTTGGGAACCTCCTTTTCAGGGCAGCAGTATAGCTTCTTGGTGTCAAGATCCAGCTCGTCGAGAACCTCAAGTAGGACTATACCCGTAAGGGCCGCGAGCGGGTACACGCGACCGACAACCCTAAGGATGACCTTGGCGACGTCGTCGAGGATGTCGAGGACGGTCCCGGAGAAGGTCAGGGGTAGCTCGCCACTGTGGCACTTTTCGCCGACGCCGCGCCACTTGCAGATGTTCTTCTCGCCCAGGGAGCTCTCACAGCAGTGCGCCATCTGGCCGTCCCAGCAGTCGTGGCCGCCGCCGTACTTGCTCATGTGCGTCATGACCTCGTCGTCCTTGCAGTAGCCGTTGCACCACCTGGTCGCGCCTCCGCGCCAGGTGCACGACTTGGGGTCAGGGGCTCCCGATAAGGGACAGCAGAGAGTGCTCTCCTTGTCCTTGCCGCACTTCTGGTCCGTGATCTTGATCTCGCCCGTCTTGCAGTCTTCAACGCCGCAGCTCGTGACGTAGCACATCTCGTTAGTGCCCGTCCAGTTTTCGTCACCCTTGTCGATCGACTTGAAGTCGCCCAAGGGCTTGGGGTCCAGGACGGCAGCCAGGGCAGACATCTCGGCGTCGTCCTGATCGATGGCCCAGATCAGATAGCCTCCGAGGCCGAGCTTGGCCGCGAGATCTTTCTTCTGCTTGAACGTCTCCTTGTCGTCAAACGACACCCACTGGTCGTTGTTCCAGGTAATGTACTTGACACCGGCCTCCTTGTCGTGGACGGGCTTGATCTTGTTAACTTTGATAACCTCCTGAATCTCGCGGTAACTGAGGATGCCTGATTCGCCACTGCAGGCACCTTTGGTGGCGCCGCCCTTGAAGAGACAGCCGGGCTTGTTGCATGACGGGTCGGCCAGCTGAAAGGCGCGCCCATAGAAGCCGAGACCCATGTTGAGCTTATTGGCCGGCACGTCGTTTCTCCAGAAAAGGTCAAATGCCAGGCTCATCTCTGTTAGGTTGGTGTGACCGTAGATGTAAGATCCAATTGGGTTCTCGCGACCCCAAACTCCGTGGAGACTGTTGGAAAAATCAGCACGGCTTGACAAAAAATTGAGAAGACTCTAGGAAGCAACAACGTACTCGTACGACATGACGTTGACAAAGTCGACATGGTCAATAGCCTTGAGGTCAAAGTGGCGAAGATACCAAAAGCTGGTAGGGGCCGTGAATGAGACAATGTACTTGGTGGGCTGTTTATTGTTCTCGTCGTCGAGTTCCTTCAGAAACTGAGTAAAGTTCTCACCGTCCTCGGGATACCACCGCGGTCATCGGCTCCGGGATATTCCTGTTTGAAGAGAAATGATAAGCAAGCGCGCCAATGGCTAGTTTGATCCCATCAACGTACCCAGTCAAAGTCAACACCATCAAATGCATGTTGCCGAAGGAAGGACATCAGGTGCTTGATGAACTGCGTCCGAGTCTCCTTTGAGCCAACCATGTTGCTGAAGACCTTCTGTAGGGGCCGGGGTCGTTGTGCGTCCACCCACCGACAGCAATGATGGTCTTGAGACCGGGGTTCTTCTTCTTGAGACTGGAGAAGTCCGTGAACAGTTTATCTGGCAGACCGTCCATGCCAATGATGTTGTACTCGTTCGGGGTGATGAAGGCGAAAGAGAAGTACAGATGAGTGAGGGAATTGACGGGAATATCGTCCAGGCCCATATCCTGACACGACGAGTTGTGCCGCCAAGCCTCGTATTATCCAATGACACGGCTGAGCTGGTCAGAAGCCTTGTTCTTGGGGCCTGGCTGGTCGCAGTTGGACTGGCATCCGCCTGTAGCTCCATGGTCTTCCTTTTCGCAGAAGTCGTCTGTCATTCCACAGAAACCCCATTTGCCACAACAGACGTTGAGGGGACACTTCTGACCCGGGACCTTGGCATTTTTACCGCACTCTGCTTTGGCATCGCAGTTGGACCAGCACACCTCATTCGGAGAAATGCCTGAAGTGCCGCAGGCCCTGAAAGAGACAAAGAAAGCTTCATTAGCATTGAGAAAAAAAGCCGAGAAAGCCACTGCTGATGATGACAGAGCATCGGCAAAAGCCTGGGTGTATAAGAGAAGACTTACTCTTCGCCATAGTTGCACTGGCCCGTCTTTTTTGGACAGCAAGCCTTGTTCTTGCAGGGCCGATCAGGACCACAGGTATAGTCTTCGCCACCAACAACCTGTCTACCAAACAAAGAAGATAATTCGGTCTGTCCAATCAACGACACGCCGTTTTTGGTTGAAGCAGGGACGATTTCGGCGCCGTCGCGGGCGTGAAGGTAGCTGTCAGCACTGCAGACTGGCAGATCGTAATCACGGCGGGCCTTGGCGGAGTAATCGAATGGTCTGATCTAGGTCAGTCATGGACTTGGTCAAGGTCAAGAGTTGACAATGGTCAATATCTTTTCACTTTTTACGGATTACCTACGACACAACGGCGCGGCACGCGTTTGGGAGCTCAGGCTGCACCTCGGCACTGCTGGGCCTACTGTGATGACAGCTGAGAGACAGGGAGTAATGAGTGTAGATAGAATCATGTAGCTCCACGAGAGCTGGGACCACGGTCCCATTTTGACTGAAGGGGAGCGTTGGGAGCTCTACCCGACAAAAATATTCAAAAGAATGTGTATCCCAAAAAGGGAAAGGGAGAGAGAGAAAGAGAGGAAAGTGAGTGAAGGGGGGAGAAGGAAAGGAGCAAGTGCAAAGGCAACAAGCAAAGTTTGCTGGCCTTAGTAGTTTAAAGGAAGGGAAAAGCGGCGGAAGAGAGTGTAGATTGAAGAAAGCATGTGGCTCAATCTCCTTCGCTGCATGCTCTAATGGGCCAGCCTGGGCTAGCCTCGTGCGCGACTTTGGTACATTTTGCCTCATGTCGGGCTGTTACCCCTTTTAGACAACATGCTATTGTTAGGCAAGTAGACAAGGCCTTGCCGTCAACCCGCCATCGTGCCTTTTTCTTCTCTCTTTGGCCTCCATCCATATTCCTGAAGGTGATCATGTGGTTGTGGTGCCTTGGCAACTACTGAGAAATACAACCTAGTAGCTCGGCTTGGCATGCTTATTCTTGCCTTTTCCACTCTAAGGCTTGTGAATCGGGGGTCCTTCGGTGTGTAATGTGGTATATCTTCTCAAGGGATTAAAGATTCACCTGCATGTAAGCGGGCAAGAGTCTTGTGATTGGGCGGACTCAATACTCGAACAATGGACCTGCAGACACAGCTGACCCGGTTCGCAGGCAGCAGCTTAAAATCAATATTGTTAGCGGGGCCCTGCACCGGTGAGGGGCAAAAGGAATCGAATCCTGGCAAGCCCTCCGCTGCAGGAACGGGCAAGGCGTACATAAGCTTATCGAAAGGCGCCTCAGTGGGGTAATAGGTAAATTAACAGTGTTAAAATGGTATTTTGTTAGTGTCTCTAATAGCTTAACAGACGTACTCCAAGACTTTGATAGGACTAGAGCTGCCTTAAACTGTAACTCTAGCCCTAAAGTATCCCTAGCTACCATAAAATATGAGCCCTGCTTAACGTTGTATTTTAAAACGTCAAGTTGAATCAATATGCATTTTCGAACTGCCAGAGATATCTTAGACGTGTTACTGGCGCAGGCTGTAGGACTTTCTCTTTTGAGTGTGTTGGTTTTCTGAATGGGTGAGACGCCAGCAGAATACTAAATTGACACCGTTAATTTACCAGCTGTCCTGGACGGGACTGCCCGCGGGCTATTTGTCGGCTACATGGTATAGCCAATAGGAACAGTGGTTATGTCGGCGACATTGTGGAGACCGCCCCTCGTTCCGTGGATAAGCTTCCTGCAACGTGCGTGCCTGGGAGGCTTGGCCCGCATTCCCCCTGCATAGGCTGCAGTTTCCGGTGTACCTAGTAATTACTGGAAAGGGTTCTTGGACGTGGTTTGGTGGTGTAATTAGTCTCTGGTCATGTCAACCCTAGTAGGGGTCACTCCCAGCTGTTGGGGTTGATGCTTCTTTAGGAAGCTCGAGGTTTATTAATTAGCCCTACCTACACCCTCAGAGGCTGATGGTGAACATTTACATGCGGATGTACTCTTTGGTATGAATTTATTCGGGCACTTGTGTCACGTAGACTGTGAACGACAAGTGGTGTTCAATGCCCCTTCACTCTGAGCAATTTCCCTGTTGACTTGGGTAGCAATTCTGACCTTTCAGCCCGTTTGACACTCTTTAGGGCGTGATCGATGACTGCGGTAAGAACTGAAATATGCAATAAGAATTTCAAATATGCAATAACACTAGCTACAAGTACCCTCTGAACTCAAATTATGTCACACTAGGCCTAAAACAGGAGGGTACATCATGATTACAGTTCTAGATTACAGAACCTTACGTTATTACATATTTACCACATACCTCAGCAAAAAGAGACTTTATATAATATAAATTATCAGTTATTCCCCATTTTCTTATACAAATTCTTACCATATTTAAAACTTATATTAACATTACCACAATTATTACTACACTTTAAAAATTACCTCTTTACTACCTATTACTACAATTAATTACTATAAATAATTTATTATAAAATTCAATTATCTTATTATAATAACTATATCTAATACTATTATAATAAAACATTAAGCTAATAAAAATAAAAATAAAAAAAAAGTTATTAATAATAATAATATTATAACTATATACTAAATATATTAAAAGCTTCTTTCTAGTTTAAACCACTATTTCCTACACCTCTTTTACCTTAATAAACAGCAATTTCAAGTATTATTAAAATAGCTTATAAACAATACACCTCTACAACTATCTTAAAACCTCCTTATAAAACAAAAAGTACTTATTTATCTATTTATTTTATTTTATAATAATAATCTTAACTAATAAACTATTACTTACTTTTTTTATATTAATTAATTAACTATATCTCTAATCTAAAATAAAGTTTTATTACACCTTATAAAGCTTTATAAAACATATATTATTTCCTATAAAAAAACTAAAGTCTTAAAAAAAATTAAAAGTAATAAAAAACTAAGTAAATACTTTATTAGTTATATTAAAGTAGTTAATAATACACTTATTAGTACATATATTTCTACTACTACTTAAAAAAAGTAGTATAGTTAAAAGAAAATAGTTTCTTAAAATATCTTTACTACTATTTATTTTAATAATAGCTTTTTATTTATATTTACTAAAGCTAAAAGGTTAATTTATAATACTAATTTAATTAATTTTATAAATATTAAAGGGTTTAAAGTCTTTAAAGGCTAGTATTTCTTAAAAAATACAAAGTTTAATACCTAAAATAATATTATTATTCCTTATTTAAAAACCTATTACTATTTACAAGATTTTAAAAATATAAATAAACTACTAGAAATAGCTTAAAAGTTATATAATCTTTAGTATAATCGTCTTTAAATAATTATTAAGTAAATATTTAGCTACTTAAAACAAAAATAAAAAATAATTACCTCTTTAGCCCTAAAGTATAGCTTAAACATATAAATACAAATTATTTATATAATAATAAGCTTATATAACTTTTTACTTTACTATATTAAAAATAAAAAATATAATAGTAATATAAAAACTTAGCTTAATATAAATAAAGTTAATAAAAAGGCTAATAAGTAATATTTAAGTTAAAGTATAAAATAAATTTATAAAAAGACAACTAAAGTAATATAAAAACAGTAATAAACGCAAAAAAAAATAAGAATTACTATAACTAATTACTATAATTCATACCTTTCCCCTTTAAATATCCTCTACTATCTCTCTAATAAAATCAAAATTATAAGCTTATATAGCCTTACAAGCTATACTAAAAACCTTCTTCTAAAAGGTTAAATATACCTTAATAAGTAACTAAAGCTAAAAATAAAGCAGTAAAACCTCCTATAAAAGCTTAAAAGCCTTTATTATTAAGTAACTAAATCCTATAGTTACCTTTAAGTTAAAAGTAACTTCATTCTACATCTTTACAGAACCAAAAAGAATCTCCTCTTAAAAAAATAAAGTAAAAAAGCCTTAAACCTATATTTATATTAGTAATTTATAGTAATTAGTTATAGTAATTAACCTACCTCTTTAACTAACTACTTAATAGTTAGCTTAAAGTCCTAAGTTAAGTAGTAACATTAAATAATATAAAGAAAACCTTTACTTTATTAACCTATAATAAAACAATATTAAAAAATAAATTACTTAAAAAATAATTAATTAATAAAGTCTATTAGTTATAAAATTTTAATTTTATTTACTTTTTTTTCTAATAAAAACAAAAAACAATTTTTAAAAGCTTATAGTCTCTAAAAATAAAGACTTTCTAATACTTAGTTAAGACTAACCAGAGAAAAGATTCCTTTTTTATAAAGATATCTATAGTAACTAGTAGACTTTAACCAGACTAAAGAAAACCTGTTTTAAAAGCAACTTTAAGGTAAATAGAAGGTTAAACCTTTAGGTAATAGACCTTAGCAAAAAGCTAGTTAAGAGCTATATACTAATAGTTAATTATATAGTAATACTCTTAGTAAATAAAATCCTAGTTTTATTAGTAATTTATAATAATCTTTTATAATAATTACTTACCTCTTCACGTTTAACAATAAGTACTTATATCTCCTACTAAGTATTAATACTTTTAATAAAAAAAGAACTAACCTTAAAGTTATAGTAATCTTTAAGATTAACTAACTTTTCTTCCATTTACTTTTCCAAGCCAAAAAAAAAAATCTCTTCCTAGTCATTATCATTATCATTATTCTAGATAACTTAATTATTATTATTAACCTAGACAAAAGCTTAGCTCCCAAAAAAAGCCCAATAAAGACCAAGTCATACAGTAATAATTCCTAAATAATTACCCTTTACTTACCTATTTTTAAGGTTAAAAATAAATATAAAATAGATAAAAAGAAAGTTATTTACGCTATAATAATAACATTATTAATTACCTTAGCCTCTATATTAGCTTTAACTAAAGCTATACTATTAATATATAGCTAGGACTTCTTAAAAGTAGCTAGCTTATAATTTTTCTAAGTAATAAAGGACTTTTTAGCCCTCTTAAGCTCTTTTATTTCCTCTATCATTTCCTTAACACGCTCATAAGCTTTTTTAGTATACATATTCTCAAAGTAGCTATTATTAGCCTTTTACTTTATACTAGCACTAGAGCCTAATAGGTAGCCTAAAGAAATATTAGTTAAGTTACTATAATTAATTACTATAAACAAATAAATATAAATAAACCTTATAAAAGCTAAAAGAAAAATATCCTTAATAATAAATAAGAAACTAAATAAAAATTAAAATACTTTTAAAATAAATAAAATAATTAGTTTTTTACCTTTAAATTAATTTTTTTTAAAATTATTATTATTATTATTAAAAAAAAAAAATAAAAAAAAAATAAAAAAAAATAAATTAAAAATAATAAATAAAATAACTATAAATCACTTCATTTTTTATACCTTCTTTAACTATTAATTACACTTACTTTACTTATATTCTTTTACCTATTTTCCCTTTTTCTTTTTTTTTAATTTTACTTTTTTTTTTAATAATAATAA